CGTGTAGTTGGTATCTCTGCCTTGATATGCAACATTCCTTTTTTCTCACTATCTTCTTTGCACCTGATCACAGATGAGTTCTTCAGCCATCCATTAATTAGCTTAATTAGTTTACTGTCTGGTAACTCATACATTGGCGCCTTGTTGCTTACATAATCAGTTAAATCTTCTTCTGTTTTCACGCAAATAGTTACCATTCTTTCACCATTCACCCTCTCACACTGACACTCATGTACACAGGGCACACTAAGTTCATTTACTCATGTCAAGCAAGGAACATACATAAAATGGAGTTTTAGTTGTTCATAAAAGACAAAAATAAAGCTAATACAATCAGAGGTTTATCAATTCAATACTATTATCATTTAAGCATAATAACTAATATTTAAAAATTCATACTACAATAGAAGGAGCATCTGACTAAACAGTAGCCTGCAGCAGAGCCAGTTTGCTTGATCAGGATGAGGAGAGAGGGCACTACGAAAAGAAGCAGGTATTTGGGCCAATCATGGCTACCATTTTGAGCATATGGAAATTGGTGGAAGTAGAATTCAAAAGGACTTCTTATTCACAATCAGCCCAAATTGTTGGTGGCCAGCACCAGAATAAAAACATACAACTGGCATTTATCTCAACATGCAGTAATAATGATCAAGGCAAACAGTGATGCTTACCATTCTCCCTTGCAGTGCTGCAGCTAGTATACATGCTGTCTGGGACAGAAAGCTGGTTCACAACAGGAATGGAAACCTGGATTTCCAAGTTGGTTTCTATGGGGTTTCAGTTGGTCTCCAATGAAGTGAAAAACTCTTGTAGATCTGGCTCTAGAAGGAGTCATCCATCACTCTTATTGGCATCCTTTAGTCAACTGACAGTATTCAAGATGATATAAAGTTCTATCCTAGTGCCTTTTGCCAAAATCTTGTCAGACTCTTCATAGGATGGACAGGTGGCAATAGCACTGCCAGACATGGGGGGGGGGGGGGGGGTTGTCTTTAACCCTTTTGTGGCCCAGTATAAATTATTTTCAATTTAGTGGCACTTGGCCTGGCATTCTGCTTGTGGTCCACCATGGTCACTGCTGTAGCAATGACTTAAAAAAAGTCATAGTTTGTCCCAAATATAAGGATTTCTTGCATATTTGCTAGAGAGCAAGAAGATCCAGGATCTCAGAACAGATCTGATTAAACTTGATGATCAAAAGTGGCAAAGGGCTGACTGGTAAAATTCACTGCATATGCTAGCAAGGTATGATGATTTCTAGATCACATAACTGCAAAAAGGCAGAACCTGACTGAATATCAGCATTTGAAAAGGGAGATGACATCCATTCACCAGAACCAGA